TAAGAATCTTGAAATTTCAATAACAAGAGACAAACTAGAATAGATCCTCTTACGAGGTTGTCCAGAGACTCTGATTAAAGGATCATCAACAACTCCATTATTGGGAATTTCGAAAAATTTTTGAAGTCGTGAAACAACATCCTCATGTACGGTTGAGGCCATATCAATTATATACACTTCACCAGTCTTAGTGTCATTGTTTGAATTGAACCAGAATTTATATCCAGACGACCCATAATTGTGAAGGAAAGTGTTATAATTTTTGATTGTTATTTTTGAGCCAATTTTGAACGGCAAACTGCATTCCATATAAATTCAAACATTAGGCGGTACTTAAGTAATAAAGTAATAAACATAACTATACACTAACCTGCTTTTTGCCAGCGGCTTTTTCGGGAATTTTGGATAGTTATGTAAAAGTTCATCAAATCTATCTTTTGAAGTACGAGACATTTTTTAATAGTAAAAGAAGCAAAGAAACTATGATAAAAGAAGTATTATTATTTTTTTGTAAAATTTGCTCTATTTATTTTATCAAATTCATTTTTTAAAAAAAAAAAAAAATAATGAATTTCTTTTTGATACTAATTATTCACAATAATTGGCTAAGCCTTAACACAGTAAGGCTAGGAATTTTTTTTTATTTGCAAAACCTGGATCCGTTAAATAGCGAATACAGAATCAGTCACATGATACTTGGGGTGAACATTGCCAATTGTGTCATGAATTGTTGATATCATAGATTTTAATATTAATTATTAAAATATATTTAATTTTTAAATAATATCATTTCAAAAATAAACCCCCATTACAAATAATAAAAAAAATACTAAAATAATACTTTTAATGAGTGCATGGTAATGCATCAGAATATATCAATTAAAAATATCATTTTTTTATTTGATTTTTATAATTTTTAATAACGACAACCATAATAATTGCGTCTTTAGATTTTTAAAGAGACAATGGCTTTTTTTAACAAATTTTACGAATATAATAAGAATTTTTGAAGATATAAGGGTTTCTTAATATATCGTAAAAGAATTTCATGATTCTCAGAAATAATGGGCTTTTTTTAGATATCGTAAAGGATAATGGTGAAAAAATTTTTACGATTTTGGGTTTTTCTTTATATGGGGCCTTTGTAATAGAAAGGGAGAAACTCCAAAAAAATTAAAATTTTAGTTTATAAGCCAAAAATGTTCCAAATACTATAATTTGTTCAGATTTATTATTAACTCATTTTTTATTTTTTTTTGAGTTTCCTCCCTTTCTATTGCAAAGACCCCATATCATAATATTTATAGACGTAATCAACCAATATTAATTCAAACACATAATAATTTCATTTTGCAACAATATTATTAAATACAAATTCTAAAATACCAAGGATACTCTTTAGATGATATTATTTCAGTACATAATTTTAAGGAATTGAATCTGAATTAATTATTAATAACATTAATAATAATTTTATAAATCAATTAGAAAAAAGTTATTTTAAAAGAAAAGAATCATGTAAACAATATTTAATTGAAGAAATATTTGAAAATAAAATAGAACAATTTAATATTCAATGCTAATAGTAAATTAGTTAACTTTATTTTACATTCATTACATAGCATTAAATATTATATTGAATGTATAGATTTGGTATTTAAAGCGTTTGAAAGAATAGAAAATATTGAAAAAAAATAATTATTTAAATAAATTTATTATTCCTGTATTTGTAAACAAATAAATATAAGAAGAGCTATAACATTAAAAATTAAAAAAGAAATTACTTCTTGAATTTCAGAAAAAGATTAAATTTAATTTAATTTCTATGATTAGTTTACTTTATTTAAATAGCAGAGAAATCTTATTTCAAACATATCATTTTTTTTGAAATATTATATCATGATTTATTTGAAAATAAGAAAATTTTATCTCAAAAGTCAAAACAAATAGTAATTAATTTTATATTACATCTAACTTATTATTGATAGAAAATATTTGTGATATTATAATAAAAAGATTTAGAAATTCTAAAGATGCAAAATATATAATATTAATTAATTTATTAGATAATTCTATTTCATTTACTCTAGATATATATACAATACTTTTTAAAATTAGATATTTTGAAGGATATTTAAAAAGTATTATAAAAATCTGAATATTATTTTAAAGATTAAGAAGATATAATTATAATAAAGAAATACAGTTAACTCTTTCTACAACGAATTTTACTATAACAAATTTTACAATACAACGGATTTTCATTGTCAGACAGATTTTTAAATATAAAAAAACCCTTACTATACCGA